TAACCCCAACGACCGTACTATTTTCTGTCTAAACCACCTTCACAAGACCACCTACCTCTTACCACCACTACTACTGGTACTCGTACTACTACTACTACTACTACTACTACTACTTCTTCTTCTACTGCTACCACTACTACCGCTGCGACTACTTCTTCTTCTACGCTTCTCGTAGTGTTTCAGTGATGCGGGGCTTCAGGGTACGGATAACGAGGCTTAGTATAGGTTCGGAGTTTAGATTTTACCGTAGACCTTTTAAGAATAGGAAAGGAGCTGAGTGGGATCCAGGTCAAGATTGAGGGTCTCAGTTTTCGGACTCTTAGAGTTTTGGTGATCTCGTACACTTGTGTTGGCTTCAGTTCCGCCTTTGGTGGTCTGTCACGAGGTGTCATTTGAAAGGCTGCGTCTGTATTCTTTAGGACAAAGACTTGCTCTGCAGAACCTGCATGGCCTAGTTTGTGATGAGCGCCGGTCTAGAGGGGTTCTTCTCGGGGGCGCACTCCCTACCCCTTAAACCTTTGAGCCGCACACACCGAAAACCTAAACCTAACACACTCAAAGTCTACACCCGAAACTCTAGGGTGGTACCAGAGTCTAGAGGGTCCCCAATTTGCTGCTTGCCTTTCCAGGTGCCACCACCGGCACCGCCCCGACCGAGGTCGCCCAAGACTGAGGTTTAGGCTTTAGAGCTTTAGGGGTTCTTTCCTAGGCTAGGCGTTCTGGTGTCATAGCAGGCAGGGTTTGTGTCAGAGGTCCGCTGCTTGACATATGGGTAGTTGCCAAAAGTATGGTCCCTTTTGGGGTACCCTAAATAATAGGTGCCGTAGTATAATAAGGACCCAAAAAGGGACCATAGTTTTGACAACCACCCATATCGTTCCTGCCGGCTTGCTGGTTTACAACTGGGTCTCATGGTGCTTTGACTGACATGTTGCGACTTATGATGTGCACTTCCAGCCACACTGTTTGCAGGCAGTCGGCGAAGGGGGCAGGCCGAGTCTTTCCACGAGATCGCGGGGTTTTGGGAGGAACTAAGACGTCTCGAAGGCCAAACCCCGAAAACCTACAAGTTTCTGCGCCTCCCAAGACGCACAGCCTAAGCCACAACCCTGCTGAAAGGTCTCAGTCCCGACCCCTCAAATCCGGCCTTATGTCGTGGGTAGTATTAGGAAGACCCCTTAAAGGGGACCCTTCTGAACCCTACTTCTGGCTCTCTTAAGAGGGACCTTATTGAGAGGGTCTATATCCCCAAAGGTCCCCCTAATCCTAACTCCCATTATGAACCCTGAATATTATTGTCCACGGTTCTGGTTGCGCAAGGATTCCTATCACAGGGCCTCCGGTGACTTACTGGCTTACCGCTCATGGCTCCGTTCGGCGTGTGGTGTGTCGGGTCTGGCTTTGGGGTTTAGGGTTTAGGGTTGTTGTAACAGGGCTTCAGGGGGGATTTAGCCAAGTTCGGGGCTGGGGAGTTTATGGCTATGGTGTAGGGTTTGTTGGGGGGGTTCCTTTGCCTTAAGTCTCGGATAATGGTCCGAGTGTTTCGGGATAGCCTGCGAGCAAATAGGAAGGGATGCCCGAACACCCCCCACGAACATTACTGTTAAGGCTCTTATGCTATTGTTTTGGAAGAGCATCGGATCGCACCACTAGCCTTACACAAATGTTGCCCATTATATCACGGTGAACTGAGGGTGAAAGTAGGGCCGAGTGCAGAGGAAGAGTGGTAAATTATTGCAGCAAGGTACCCAACATCAAGAAATGCCAGCTGCAGTGTTCTCTGAGAACCTTCTCATATGTTCGCCAGGAAGTACGAGCTAGCTCCAGCCTGCAACAACATGAGACAGATCACGTCAGAATACCCTGCAATCGAAGCAACTGCAGAATACCCTAAACCCCAAACCCGAAACCCTAAATCCGAAACCCTAAACCCGAAACCCTAAACCCTAAACCCTAAACCCGAAACCCTAAACCCTAAGCCAGCACCGGTACACCAAACAGCCGACGGGCCAGGCCTCCTTACGAGCAGGCCCGGCTTGAAGAACGCATGCAACAACGCTGGAATTTCAGCCTCCAGCCCTAAACCGGAAGCTACTAAATCCTAAACCCTAAACCCTATAACCCTATAACCCTAGAACCTCAAAAACCTTAAACCCTATTGAATAACACTATAGCACTCTTACCCTAAACCCTAAATGCCCATCATCCGTGCTTGAGTGGTTCAGGACGGCCAGAGCCGATCGGCTCCTTCAGCAGGGCCCCCGGCCTTCATGGTCTGGATCTATGCGGCGAGTTTTCTGAGGGCTGCATACCTTACATGCTCAGCCATCGGCTGCGCAAGCGCGAAAGAGAGAGAGAGAGAGAGAGAGAGAGATGGCTTCAGATAGAGAGCAGTCGGATCCCGATAAGAGGCAGGCAGACACACACACACACACACACACACACACTCCGTACACTCCACAAATTGATGGCGTCACGAACATTGTGCCCCAAGCTCTGAAGACCCTGAATCACATCAGCCTACAGCCCCCAAGACCGAGTATGAGCGGTTTCGGGGTGAGGGCGGTTAGGATTTAGGGTTTAGATTTTAGGGGTTAGGGTGTAGGGTTTAGTGTTCAGGGTGTAGGGTTTAAGTGGGTCGAGATCTGACAAGGCCGTTGCAAAAAGGGTTTAAGGGGGTCCCATTTCTCCTGACTCCTTTGAGACGAAGACGAAACACAGGCAACAAGCCTCGGGAGCAACCTGCCGCCCGAAGCTCAGCCGATTGCCGGGTTTTCGAGCGTGTGCGGTTGAGGAGAGGATCCCGTTATTATTGTTATTCTTATCGTCGGTTTAGGGTTTATAGGGTTATTCTGGTTAGTATTATTCTCATTACTATTTTTTTTAACAACTGCCAGTTTGAGACCCTGTCGATGCTGGGCGCATGTCAAAGTAGTGGCAAACCGCAACCTGCTGGCTCTAGCGCGGAATTGTTTGCAGGCAAGGTTTGCAGGATAGTCCTACAAAGAGATGTACCGTGGAGCTTAGGGTTTAGGCGGGGGTGATGGCCCACTCCTTCCGAGAAGGACATCCAGCCTTAATGTTTCGAGGCCACAAACTTCGCGGTTGAGGCTTTAGGCTTTCTCAGGTTCTTCCCGAAAAAAGCCCAACCTCAGAAGCCCAGAAGCCCAAGCTCCCCAAGCCCTGATCTTGAAGGCTTTAGGGTTTTAGGGTTTTAGGGTTTTGGGGTTCAGGGCGTGGGCTCCCCTTCTTCAAGACTAACGCTTCAGGGAGATGTTCGACTGTAAGCAGTTCGAAGAAGCACTGATTCCGAACCCCTGGGAGGAGACACGGCCAATATTAAGCGCGGTTTAGGGTTTAGGGTTTAGGATTCCTCATGAACACAGGGCGATTGGTTCTTAATCCCTGGTACAAAATGGACTGCGTAGTAAAAAGCTGAGAGCCCTGTGCAACAATATCACGGAGATTCTTGATTCGTCAAACGTATTCACTGCAACCCATACTGTGAGATTAAGACCCTTATTAAGAACCATTTCGTTTCTTGATGAAACTCCCCCAGGCTGCACGAGGTGGCTCAGAAGGAAGAATTAGGCCTCTCGGGTGCCAGGGTTTGGAGGTTTTGGGTGTGTTGTTTATTTCTGGGGCCCCATCTGCTGGGTTCAGGGCTTCTGGATCGTGTTTAACTTGAACTTTGTGTACGGGTGTTGCCCTAAACCCTAAACCCTAAACGGGTTTTAGGGGTTTGGGGGGTAAAGTGGGCCGCTGGGCCCCACTCGATGCACCATCTACGTTTGCTGGCTTGAAAACCTTACCCATAGGCCCTATCACGGTTTAGGGTTTAGGGTTTAGGGTTTAGGGCCCTATAGTAGTTCCTTTTTGGGATTACCCTATGAGATTTCAAATGTGAACCCCAAAAAGGAACTACTGTGGGGCCTATGGGTAACCACTGGAGACGCCCAAGAAACTAGAATTCAGTTTTCACTGGGTCCTGTTTACAAGGATCCGCCGGTTTGGTTTTTCCGGTTCACACTCATTTTTCGCCGGAGATCCCCCACTGAAATTTCGACGAAAAGGCATTATGAATACCCATAGTCCTCATAGCAGTTCTTTTGGGGATTACCTTATAAAATTCTAAATATGAACCCAAGAAGGGGCCTATGGGTATTCTACACCGAATTGCAGCCACCATCGTCCGCATCACCCGGACGTGAGGAGCCACAATACCTACATATGGGTGTAGGGTTTAGGGCATGGCCTCATGGAAGAATTACGAGCTGGTTCTTTTGCTGGCTTCGGTGCCGGTGCTGCTGTTTGTGGTCCCGAAAGCCACAACTCGCGCTTCTTTATTTCAAATCCCGAAACATCCTCCCTTAGACCGGTTGTTTGTAGTAGATGTCCTTCAGAAGGAGCCACAGTAGCGCAGTTCGAGATTTCCAGCGTTTTATATGGTTTAGATGCTGGGGCACATAGGCTTTATCCTAGATTACCAAACCCTGAACGGCTAAACCCTAAACACCTTGCAACACCCAACGTGCTGCCAAGACTCCCCTGTAAAACTCGTTTTGCACCCTTTGAAGAGGCCCTTTCAAAAACCCTGGACCCTAAACCCTATTTAAACGTCCTTGCTAAGTGGGAGGGAAGAACCCCTATCTAAAGAACCCTTGAGGATGACATGTTTTTCCAGCGCCAGGACGCGTATCAACTGGCTCAACGATCGAGCCCGCTGCTGAAATTCTTCACGTTTTTTGGGAGTTTTGGGGGTTTGGGATTGAAGATGGCGAAGAGCTTAGGGGGTTTGGGCCTAGGGGTTGAGGATTTCAGGTTGAGGGTTTTGGAGTTGGGTTCAGCGTGTTGGGGCGGATCGAGTTGTTTCAGAGTGCCTACCGGGGCGTCAGGTGGAGGGATTGTCGCTGTAGTGTACATCACGACAGGTGCCTATAAGGGTTGACCAACTTCCTTGTGTGACGCTTCGTGCTTTCAGGTTGGGGGCGTTGCACTTTGGGTGTCAACCAAGTTGATAGCTCCTAGGTACGGAAGAATTCGGGGTCGCGTTTCCATTTCTCACAGCTTCTCCCAGGGCTGATATGAGCTTCGTCGACCGAAATGCATCGGTTTAGTTTAGGGTCTGTTGTATCTTGTAGTCACAGACCAGTCCAGTGATGCCCAAAGAATCTTCCAGTCGTAGGAGGCGGAGACGATTGGAGACATCTAGATCGGACACGGCCTAGACACGGCAGGAGGAGGCTGCCTACCAGTGTCAAGATGGAGCAGAGGAATCTCGAGGAATCTGTGACCCTCCACGTGGGGCACGCTGCAGATCCTGGCACCATCGATTGTCACATCCATTCAGTGGGGCACGGGCTGTGTATGTGATGCGAAACTCCACCCCCCTGTTTTTTGTTGAGATGTTCTGCTTGAGATGCGTGATGCAGCTGCAATCAGTCAACAACTCTCCGATTTTTCCTGAGGGCTCCGACTCGCCAAGACAGGCCCCTTCGGCTTTTCCCCCTGAACCCTGAATCGTCGAAGCCTAAACCTTCAAAGCCTGCAACTCATAATCACGAGATCCGACTTCAGAAACCTTCGAAACCCCATAAACCCTACTCCAAAATCTACACGCACACACAAATAGAAATACATACTAACTTGATAGTTCGCTGGCTTTTCAATGGAGCGGTACAATGCCAGTAAAAGACGAACCGCCCCAGTAATAATATGAATAGTTCTAGTAGCGAAAATCAGCGGCCATCTTCCACCGAGCGCGCGCCCGGTACCCTGTGTTTTTCAGGGATATGCGACAAATCTTACAAGGAAGGCCAATGAACCATGAAGGTGTACAGTACTTGTGTTTGAAGGGGCAACAAGAGATCAGACCTGATCTACAATTTGCTGAAGCCGCTGCTATTGGCCAGGGGATATTCCAGAAAACGGAGGGCCCCTAAATAGTTAAAGAACACCGTAAACCCTAAATCCTAAACCCTACCGGGGAGAAGATATCCACCGGGGAGAAGATATCCCTAAACCCTAAACCCTAAACCCTAATTTCCTGAAGTCAGGCCCGCCAACGCCCGCCCTTAAGAATCATATAGTCTAGACCAGACTCTAAATCTCCAGCCGGGAAACAAGAGTCCCATGATACCTTTATAAAACGCTGAAACCTCTATATAACTATATATATATATATGCATATATGTCTATATACATGTATATATACACATAAATTTAGGTGTATATATATATATATTTATAATTATATATACATATAAATATTTGAATATATATATATATATATACATACCTAGGATAACCTGATGTTTGCTGGGTGCTCAGGGCGGCCTCCAGGCGCCGATGGACGCGGACCGGGCGGCCTCTCAACTCAGCCGGGTCGGAGCCCCTTGTTTCAGGGGCGTTAGGGCTAGGGCTCGTAGATCGATAGACGGGTGGATGAATGGATGGATAGATAGATATGCATACACACAAATATACATATATAATTATATATCTATATATATATATAGAGAGAGAGAGAGCGAGATATACATACACATATATATATATGTGTGTGTGTGCGCACAAAAACTTGAATAAACACGAGCATACATGTGTGCAAGCATTAACATGTGTATATTGTTTGCATATATTCGTTTGTTTGCCTGTCTATGCATATCTGTCGAAGCGTAGGTATACATGTCTGTATGCATGGGTGCATGCATGTATGAATGTATGTAATGCAGTGTACTGCGGTGCAGTGTAGTGTAGTGTAGTGTAGTGTAGTGTAGTGTAGTGTAGTGTAGTGTAGTGTAGTGTAGTGTAGTGTAGTGTAGTGTAGTGTACTGGTATGTATATATGTACGTAAGTATGCATGTACGTAAGTTAGTAAGTATGTATGTATGCAGGTATGTACGTACATATGTAAAAATGCTTGTTTGCTTGCTTCTTGTATGCATGCATGTATTGCCTGCATGTATTGCCTGCATGCAAGTATGCTGGTTGCATGCATCACATTGAAGATACATACGTACATCCTGGCATGTATATCCTGTCCATCTTAGTTGAAGAGGGCAACCGTGCTGGGACGGATTTCATAAAGTTTAAAGGTGTCTGTTGACTTTACTGACAATTTGAGGCTCCGCAGGTCTTGCTATCTTGCTAGGTCCCCACATAGTACCTTTCAGCCTTTATGACCCTTGTGTTTCAGATGTCATTGTCAGCATTGGGTAAGAGGAACAAGTGTTCCCTAAACCCTAAACAACCCTAAACCCTAAACTAGGAGTTTCTTAAACCCTAAACCCTAAACCCTAAACCCTAAACCCCCTTGATCTCAAGGGGACTGCGGGGAACGAGGCTGGGGCTTCAGGGGCCTTAACAATTAGAATAGGGTTCCTTTAACTGACTGGGATCCTTCGAAGGGTCCCTTCAAAGGGTTCTAAAAGGGATTTATAATATAGGGTTCTACAGTAGATTCTATCCTAGATATGTCATGTCTTGAAAGGGCGTCGAAAGTTTCGGTGACAACTTGAGAAGTGTTGCAGTTTCACAAACAGCTTCAGGACTGAGGATCTAGAGTCATCAAGCTTTGGAGTCGGCTGCAGGGCCTGGAAAGTTTGTAGTTTTGGGGCTCGGGTGTTTCAGGGGGTTTAGAAATTTGCATGGCCATTTCGCGGTTGCTCGTTTTTTGCGAGGGTTTCGAATGCGCGTCAGCCAGTAGCACAGAAGCCGGTATTCTTGAGGCACCAGCCCGCGAATTGTCTCCTCATGCGGCGTATTTCTTGTGCTGGGGTTTCGAGGTTTTGGATCTGATTAGGGGATTAGGGTCCAAAACCCATGGTTGCTGGGTATTCGCGGCTCCATTGCTGCTGCTGCTGCTGCCGTTGCCTCGGCTGCTCCGGTTTGTCGTTCTTGCTATGCATGGTCACTGTCTCAACTGCTCTGCTTCAGGTGCCAACCGACAGGGAAGCCATGGAAATCCTGAAACGCGGGGCTCTCGATTGCTGTTCTAGTGACTTCCCAAACATACTGGGAGGATGTCTTTAGGCTTTAGGAGGTTACGGGTTCAGGCTGCAGGATCGAGGTCGGGACGTCGGCAAGGTCAGCTGGATGACTCTGCTTCGGGTACTTGTGGCTACGTTTGTCATCCACTTGTTAATGGCTGCCTCTACCCATAGGCCCCATAGTAGTTCCCTTCTGGGATTACCTTATAGGATTCTAAATATGAACCCCCCCCAAAAAGGAACTACTATGGGGCCTATGGGTAAGGCAGGGATGTCAGAGTTTCGTTGGCCCGGGATTTCGGAAGCAACTTTTTGTTGGACTCCGGCTGCGGAAGCCGAGGTTCGTTGTTTCGGGTCTAAGCCCCGAAGCCCTAAGCTTCCCACAATGCCCAAAACCGCAGACCCGGTTCACCCTCATCATAACCCCTGCAAAAACCCTTCATCCCTGCACCAAATTAGCACCCTAAACCCCTAAAGCCCTAAACCCTAAATCCTAAACCCTAAACCCTACACTACCTGACCCCCCAAACCCTCCGGTTTTGCTCGGACCCTCCCTTGAAAGCGCACCAGGGACCAGGGTTTCAGAGGCTTCCCTGCGGGTTGTATAAAGAGGCTATAAGGCATCTGGGCTTCTGTAGAGGATCCAAAAATGCCTTATGAGGGGGAGTCTTTTTTTTAGGGCTCTATCTCTATAAAAGGGTTCTACAATCAGTACCTCAAGATGGGAAGTATTGCATGGCCTATGTCGAAAATTGAAGATGATGAGGAGTTGAACACCCCTGCAGTGGGAGACGAACGCAACCGCGATCTCATCTCAGATTTCAATGCGTGAGGATTCGAGCCATGCCCTGCATGCCGGGACGCGCAACACTTTGGCTTGCGCACCCTAAACCCTAAACCCTAAACCCAAGCATAGGCATAGTCCTCCCAGCCGCCAGCTAGGGTCTGCCGGTATACCTGGTGCAAGATGGAAGAAGTCTGGTTTCGATAGTTCAGGTTCAGGCATCCGTATGAGAGTGTTTGACTGTAGGTTGAGTCACTCCTCCTGCTGCTTCTGCCGCTGCCCGTGTTCAATATACACTCCCCCTCTATTGCGATTCATATGAAATAGGACAGGGGCTCAAAACACACCAACACGAGGGAAATCGCATTTGCTTTTGTCCGGGTCCCGTTTCACGAGGTGTGGAAGAAAGCGCCAGTACCATCCGAGACCCAACCGCGTCTGGTCCTTAGATTCTTGCTGCTGAAAGCTTACAGTCAGACCCTAAACCACATGGCCCTAAACCCTAAACCGCATGCTTTAACCTCAAGAATACCCGCGGAATGTACATTCCTGTTTCCTTACTCTAGAGGGCCTGTGTCAGGACTATCCAGGGCACCAGATACTGTAGAAGCAGGGAATGCTTTGCGGGAGTTTCGATCCTTCCACTCACTGTAGAGCAGGGAATGCGTTGGGAGATTCCGAAAATGAGGGGTACCTTATTTTGGGGTCCGTATAATAAGGATCCTACTATTTAGGGTACTGTATTAGGGTCCCCTACTTTCGGAAACGCCCAGTTTTCAGCCTTCCGTTCAGCGCATGAGGGTGTGATGCTGCCTCGAGGAGGACTTGGGTGTAAGTCAGCTAAAATGCATTTTGCTTTCCACTTGCATGCCACAGATGCTGAATGGGATTGGGCTTTGACTGGAAGAATGAACCTACAAAACCGTCAGTGGCAAGAAGACGTGTCACCCATATATCCGGCTGCGACTGCAACGCCTTGTCCCTACTCCCTACCGCTAACCGTACTCAAATGGCTCGTGACATCGACTAGAATTGCACTAATCGGACACCAACCTTGCTCTTGCAGGTATGTGGTGTCGGCTGTACGGCGCATCATCAACGAGAAGGTGCGGCAGCCAATAGGTAATTGATTATCTGCGTCGCGTGGCCGAGCCCGAACCTGTAAAGTGTAGTGCTTGGGTATCTCGCGCCCAACCTCAACCTCTGGTGTTTGCGCATCACTCCACAAAACGATAGCAGGGGCAGGGGCATACCCCAAACAAAGTTTCAGCAATGCCGTTTCCAAGAGCACAGCATGTTGTGTTGAATAAAGCCTTCCACAAAAGCAGAGCCAAAAACAGTTTTGTTACGGGTCCTGAACCCTAAACCTGCTTTTTGGACCACTGCACCCGTAATCCCCGAGCGAATTGCTCCGCAGCCACCTTTGATCCTGGACCTGTGACTTCACCTTGATACGTCACGGCCCTTGTTTTGATCACATGCTGCACATCTTGGCATTTCTTGGTCCCGCTCTGGCTTTTGCTCCTGCTTCTGCCGTGGCTCCTGCTCTTGCTTTTGCTCTTGCCCCTGCCCTTGCTCCTGTTCTTGTGAAAAAAACCCCAGACCCAACTTTTCAGGTGGGTAGTTACCGTTATAGGAGCCTTATAGAAGGTCTATATACCTTATAGAAGCCTTACAGAAGCCCTACATACCCTAAGCTCCCCACCTGTAGTTTCCTTGAAGATTTTGAATCTTGGTTCTTGCCCTAAACCCTAAACACTAAACCCTAAACCCTAAACCCTAAACCCTTGGGCTTTGCGTGGTAACTTTCTTGAAGCCCTGGGGTCTCAGAATGTCGCTTGCGTTTTGGGGTTCAGCTATCGTGGGGACTTCGGCTTTCGGTTTAGGGTTTAGGGTTTAGGGTTTAGGGTTTAGGGTTTAGGGTTTAGGGTTTAGGGTTTAGGGTTTAGGGTTTAGGGTTTAGGGTTTAGGGTATGGTAGGTCTGACGGGGTCTTCAGGCCACCAGCTTTTAGGGTCCTCAGGTTTTTGCAGGTGGGGAGTCTCACTCTTCCGGGCTTGAGAGGGTTTACCCAAAGGCCCCATAGTAACTCCTTTTTGGGGTTCAGCTATCGTCGGGACTTCGGTTTAGGGTTTAGGGTTTAGGGTTTAGGGTTTAGTAGCGCGCTCTTGCCTTAAGACGGGGTGAGGGTTGCATGGGCGCTGGCCGGCACCTCAGTCCGTGCTGAAAAGGGCTTAGTAGTTCCTTTTGGGGATTCCCGTATGGGATTCTAAATATGAACCCCCAAAAAGGAACTACTATGGGGCCTATGGGTAGAGTTTAGAGAGTGTATCTACTCAACTGTCCTTCCACCATACGCAGGGCGGACGATGAGCCCGCGGAGAGTGATTCCCAGCTGAAAGCTGACCCTCATGCTTTTTGTGCTGAAGTGTCTGGGCTTGATGAGGATCTTGGTTTATATCGGGTTGTAAAGCTGCTTCATGGCTTAAACCCTTTAAAGCCTAATCCCTCTGGGGTTTTGGGTTTTGGATCATGTAAACAAGACTGCAGCACGGGGTCGTCATGTAAACATGGGAGCCATGCTATCCCTAGAGCCGAAGATACGCTCGCCGCTCCGAGCGTTGCTCCCTGCGGACGAAGGCATCCTGCCGCCTTAGAATCCGTGGCTCCTCCCGGGGTTCTTCGACGCATCATTGCCTGACAAGGGTTTACAAGGGTTTTGGGTTTAGGGTTTGGGGTTTAGGATTATAGGGTATTCACAGGACCCAGATTTGCAAAGAGGCGTGAGGTGAATGTCGAATGCCGTTACTATTGTGGTAACAGTGTGGCATCATGGAGCACTCAGGCTACGGGATTGCTTCATGCACTTCTAGAAACCGGCATATCGCTTGGTTCGCTGGCCTTGCCTCATTTGCAGCTAAGACATACACTGTTCACTATTTTCGGGCGGTATGAGCCTCCTGGTTGAACGGTCTAGAAGTTGAAAGACTCGATGGCCTGGACATCTTCCCTGGATTGGAGTTTATTTGAATAGTTAGCTATGGGGGTTCTACAAGGGTTTTGTATAAGGGTGACTGTTCAGTTCAGAGTTCAGGGTCTTGAAAATTTGCCTCAGGACTTGAACGGATCCCGCTAGCAAGACATGCCTGTAAGAATATAATATGAGCAGGGGTTTCTTATAATCCGGGCTCCGTATCATAAGGATCCTACTCCCACTATATATATATATACTATATAGGGCCTATATCATAATAGTGAGGGCCCTTCGCTTTTTCAGCTCGTAGACATCCCTGGACCTGTTCTTCTGGCTCCGGGCCTTTTAGCGCCCTAGCCTGGAGAACCCCCGAGTCAGGGGCTGGAGAGCTATGAAATCAAGGGACTCAAGGGAGGGGCCCTTAAAGGGACCCTTGGGGTTGTATAGGGGCTTTGTGAGAGTATAGAAGGGGTAGCTAAGGGTGATAATAGGGTACTTGGATTAGGGGTATTTGGATTAGGGGTTCCTTCCAGGGTGTCCCTCCTCTTGTCCCCTATGTGAAAAGTCATCAAAATGCTGGCAGGCCCTGCTTAGCGCATTTTATGCAGTGCAGGACAAGACAAAAAGCTTCCCGCGATGGTCGGTAATGCCTCAAGTTAAGATAGATCTCAAAAAGCCTGATCATTTAGGGGCCTTGATACCTTCGTTTGCAAGCTCTGCGTTGCCAAACATATCTTCCATCTGCTTGGCAAAACCGTAGCGCCGCAGTTCTAACTTACTCAGCCCAAAACCCTATATAGGCCCTTTTTCCCTCCTAAACCCTAAACCTCTAAGTCCTATAGACGCTACACCTCAGCCGGTACTCATTCCCGAAGGTCGAAGCTTTCTCAAGACATAACAACTTCCTTCCTCTTCTTAAAGACATACGAAGGTTTAGGGTTTAGGGATGAGTATGTAGAAGGTTGATCGAAATACTCCTTCCTTGCTCACACTAATTTGCCTTCTGCGTTCAGAAACTGGTTCAATATTTTTGGAGCATATAGCATGCCGCAACGCACTCCTGCGACAGATGCGGTTTCTGGACGATTTCCGAGTAGACCATTCATTGACTGAAAGTAGTGCCTCTCATTGGCGAAAAGCCAGGTGACCATTATCGCAAACGAGTAGTGGCAGAAGAACCTGATATAGTTGTACAGAATGGTGATAGTGACAACGTCCCCTAACAGCCCTTGTGTATACTTTCCCAGAAAACCTATTCCTCTATTGAGACAGGCCTCCATGTCGCAGGATCTTGATTGCACAGCTTGGAACAACGAAAGCCCGAACAGACAAAGTCGGAGTATAATTGCCTATGAAAGGCGTCACTAAAAGTCAAAATGGTCACATTGTCCTTGAGAATCCGCAACCCTAAAAATGCCAAAGCACTAACCGCAAAGCCAAAACCCCTGACCTCACATGCTTTCAGTGATGCAACCTGTTAGGAAGCCCTGGATTTTGTGCAGAGAGCTCATAGATCAACATCAACAAAAAGCGCTTCGAACACGTCTCGCATGGAGTGTGTTTGAGCGTGAGCGTTTACAGCCCAGAACCCCCTACATAGCCCCAAACCCCCAAATCTGAGGCCCCAAACCCTCGAAATCCCCGGCTCAAGCGACATGCCATGAAGATAGCTTCAGCATGGCAGAGAAGTGAGCCCCCACGCCCATGTGGGTTCTGGAAGTCGCCGTGCTGGGCAGTGCTTGGGCTTTACCGGGCGCAGCTTAGATTCAACTGGCACTTGGGTAGTTGTCTAAATTAGGGTCCCTTTTTGGGTCCTTATTATAAGGGTGCCATACTATACTGGGGACCTAAAAAGGGACCCCTAAACCCTAAACCCTAAACCCTAAACCCTAATTTAGAGAACTACCCACTTGCATGGGTCGGCTTAGGGCTTCGGTCCGCTTAGGGCTTAGCAGTTCAGGGTTGGAGGCTCATAGGGCTTAGGGTTTAGGGTTTAGGGTTTAGGGTTTAGGGTTTAGGGTTTCAGGTTTAAGGTTTAGGGTTTAGGGTTTAGGGTTCAAGGTTTAGGGTTTAGGGTTTAGGCTTATAACTATAAGGGTAGATCTCTAAGATCCTTTTTTTTTACAAGGGTGCCGTACTATTGTGGGGACTTAAAACGGGACCCGAATTTGGAGAACTACCCAGAAGGCCCATAAGTGCTTAAGAGTTTAAGGGTTTTTTGAGGGTCTAGAGGGGTTCGGGATAAACCCTCAACCCTAAACCCCAAACCCCAACCCTTAAACCCTCAACCCTACAGCCTAAACCCTAAACCCTAAACCCCAACCCCTAAACCCTAAACCCAAGCTGATGGAAACTTCAGGGCTTCCGAGCACGGGGAAACTGTGGGGGTTCCCCAAATGCAAGTTGCCTGTACCCCAGACTCTCGGGACACATATATATATATATATATATGTGTGTGTGTGTATATATATATATATATATTTTTATTTATTTATTTATTTATTTATTGATGTACTTATATATATATATATATATGTATTTATATTTACATATCTTTATATATTTTTATTTATTGATGTGTTTGTTTTTTTATTTATGTGTTTATTTATTTATATTTATTGATTTACTTACAACCTTGATTATGGTGGGGTACGTAGAACTCCAGTTTGAGGTACTCACAACCTTACCTACATGGTACATCTCCCCTTACCTATTGATCTTGGTGTTGCCTTTTTGTGTACTAACCCTAAACTTACCCCAAAAACCATGAGGGTTCGTCTTGTCCGTGACTAACCCCAAACCCTAAACCCGAAGCCGTGAGGGTTCGTCTTTTCCGTAACTACCCTAAACCCTAAACCCCAAACCATGACGGTTCGTCTTTTCCGTGACTTAAGCGTCTCGAACTTAGACTGTGGAGGCCAAGGGTTGTAAGGCCCGTTTTGCAGATCGGCTTAAGGCTTTGTAGGGTTTAAAGGCTTAGGGTTGAAGGCTTGGGATTTAGGGAAGCTGTAGGTTTGAAGTTGAGGGTCCAAAGGTTCATAGACTCTGTTGACCGAAAATGCTTAATCCTTGTACTACGGCCCCTCAAAAAGGGCTCCAAATATCTGATGTTCTTGATTCAAGCTCTTGTCACCAAAGCCCTTCTCTACAACAGATCCTGGGTCGAACCCTCAAGTGGAAGCAAGAGTCATTAGCTTCATGTTCCTGGCAATCGTGCGCCGTTGCTGTCGCGAGGCATTTAAAATCCTGCAGGGATCCAGATGCCTGTCCGCAGTCGGGCTGTTCCGTAGGTAGGGTTTCTATAATAACGAAGGCTTGCCCCGCAAAACAGGATTCTCATGATTAAGGCCCTTAAACTCCTTAGATGGAAGTCGGGAGCCAATTTATCAGCGATGAGAGCAGGTTGGATCTCAGGAAATCGTATATGTGACTGAAAAACCTTTAATAATTCCCTTTTATTGTCATGGTCCATATGGAAGCTATGACAATACCATGCGATACTGTACTATACCCCAGAACCCTATTCTGTTAAGGCCCGGTAGAACGCCGTAAGCAGCTATTAAGAAAAACAAAATTCTGAAATCCTGTTCAGTTCTTTGCTTCAAGCCCATACAGTACGGAAGCTTTTGGTTTTGTGGCATCAGCCGAAGTCTCTTACATCGTAGCGACGACCGAGTTGAAAGTCTGCAGCGATGCGCAGTCTTGTGTGTAGGGCCTCAGAGTTTTGGGGTAAGGGGTTCGGTCTCGATCTTTCGAAAAAGCTCGAGCTTTGCAAGCTGAGTTGGCTGTTACAGCACCACCACATCTCTTGAGGCCCATCGTTGACAGGCGAGCTGGGCTTTACTACAAAACTCCCCGTGTGAATGCGCGAAAGGCAACTGTACAACCATCACCAAACGACCCGTAATTTTATAGTAATGTGCGATGCAGTCCTTAGTCACAACGAACCACGTAAGTTGTCTTACAAGGTGCATTCCTGAAAATAGGTATGCGCAGAGACATCCTTAGATAAAGTACGGCATCTTGTAGTATCAGTAGTTTATGAGAGTTTGATCTGCATACGGCAAGCTATAAATATAAATATAAATATAATTATATATATATATATACATATATAGATAGTGATCAGACGATGGCCACTCAGAAAGCTCAATCCCCCCGACATCCTAACCCTAATTCCTAAACCCTGAGCCCCGAAGCCCGAAATCCCAACAGAAACCGACGGGGCTGCTGTCGGCTGACTGTTAAACAGGCGATAGTTGCCTTGACAGTTGTCCCGGAGTTGCCCTAACAGACCACTAGTTCACTTTCAAGTGTGAGTTCCATTTCATTCGGTCTAATTCTGAGCGTGTCAAGTATAGGTGAATGGACGATGGACGACAGCTTTCCGGTATAAGAT